TTGCCAGTCTATGTGATACAACAGAAGCATTTACCGTTCGAGCCATTTTTCCCGTTCGATTCGTATTATCTGTGTCGGTGAGTGGGTTTATGGCTGCGATTGGTTTCATTTGTTTTTGAGAATGCTACTTAATAATATTGATAATAAGTTGTAAATATGTTAAATAAAATATTTTGCAGATCATCAGTTTTTATAAAGCCTTTGCTGCGTCGATTCACACCTTTGGCTGAAGATGCGAGTGTTTTACAACGGGAACTGAGATGGCACAATGCGAAGACACTATCTGGAGCGATGGGTTTCAAGAATACCGATGAGGCTGCTGGTTGCTTTTGTTATCATTATTGTTATTGTCATTATTGGTGTCAGTTTAGTTACTGTCATTGATACTGTGCATTTAGGTTCACTGGATTTTCTGGAGGATTTGAGGCGCGATATGACGGATCTTGTGCCGAGCGGTCGACAGAGTATTGACGAGATAGCCGACATCTTTATGGTTAGCCGAACAATAAAATTAAAATAGTTATTTGAGATTCGTTGTTGGTTGTTGAGAGTTTAATATTGAGATTGTTTGAGATTTCAGTAATGTAGTAGGTAATGTCGGAATGAATTGATAGTGATTGTGTGGTTCACTGATAGTCATTTTTTGACATATGGACACAAACCACAGAAGAAGTGAATTCCGTAGATTTACTGTGGTTTCGCGTTTNTTCATCTTTTCTTCATGTTATCGTTCGTGGAACTTTGGAAGTTTTGTGCTTCGAGTGTGCAATCGTGAAATTTCATAATTCTAAAATGAAATTTCAACAGTTTCTTATGGTTTTAGAAATTTCTATGAAACGAGATTTTAATAGTAATTGTTTTATTGTTATTATGTGGTGTGGCTGTTACGGTTGTTGTTATTGCTACTGTTGTTGTTAGAGAGTTGACATAATATCTGTGTATTATATTGAGATGTTTCAGCTCCGTTATTTTCTCCAGATTCTATTTGATTTTAGCACTGTTTTTGTTGTTGTTGAAGCGAATTTCGAAACTGTACAACTTCGAATGTGTATTCGCATAGAATAAACATTTTATCATAACATCTTTCCTGGTTCTCAGTTCAAGAAAAGTGATCATTTGCGGGCAAAAGTAAGATACTGGGATCGTTATCTGTCATTGATTATTAGAAAGATGTGAAATTTCTGAGCTCTGTGATGACAGCATCTGTATGTATCATTTCCATATTATACGGACGAAACGAGAATGTCCTAAAAATAATTTCTTGAAGAAAGGTGCTCAGTTGATTCTAGTGAAGATATTCATTCGATTGTCGCCCTCACCACTGGCTTGACGTCCTAAGCCTACCGTCCGTCCCCAAAACATCCGAATGCAACCGAAAAAAAACAAAAAAACAAACGCAATACTGAAGAGTTTTCGGTGAAAAAAAAACCAGTCGAGACGAAATACATTAATTTAGAGATTGATTCCATGTATTTGTGCGGAAACTCCATCTTCGAAACTTGTTTCCAAAATCTATCATCCAGATTTGAAGCCACTGCGATTCGGAAACCGTCTCTTTAGACTCTAACTTCCACTTGGTTCTTGGTCACGCAAGAAATTTGTCCTATCAGTGGTTTAGCACGAAAAATTGATTAATTATCTTAGTGATCATTTGATGATCAGCCGTATCAAAAACCTTCCAAAGCGTGCAATCAAAACATTGCGGAAACAAGTTTTCTGCTCAAAGTTCCAAATCAAACATTACCAACTACAACTTGCACTCGGCCCCAGCAAAGTTCGTTGCCCAGTTCGCTCTAACAGCAGCTCTTCATTATTATACTCCATAAATGCAAGCTTGTAATTTACATAAGCAGATCTTTGTCCCAGTTAATGCTAAAGATTTTAACTACCGAAAGTTTTCAGTTTTTATTTTATTGATGAAATGTTCCATTTTCATTGTTTATGACAAATATTGTTTATGAACGAAAAGAAGTTTTCCAGTCGTTAAGATGCACCGTTTATTTAAGTTTCAACGGACATTTTCTTAAGAACTTTTGCTCATCACGTCGATTAGTTGATTGAAATTTGAGTTGGTTTTCGTATTGCTTGAAAAATTTGCCTATTTGGTCATATTTAACGGAATATTTTACAATTCTCAGTTCGATTAAATTATCAGTTCTATTAGTTTTCAATGAAATTTTCAAAGGCATCTTCAAAAAATTAATTGATTTGAAAACCTTTAAAATTTGCCTAAATCGTAGTATTGTTTTGCACGTATTGCTTTGGACTTTTTCCTGATATATGCCTGAAATTTGATGTTTCTGGTTGTTTGGGAGAAGTTTTGAGCATAAATGACACTGACGAGAGATAAAATTAAGTGACAGAATTGTAAAAGTGACACAAATCCATGTGGTATGCTTAAAAACAGTTCCGGAGAAGGAATGAATACCCCTTCGAAAGAGGGTCGGGAATCTGGTGAATGTACTCCATCACCATCTTCCTCAGCATCACCTCCAATTATCCTCAATATTGTTGGAAATCAGAAAATCATTGAGCTCGATAAAAGTTTGAGGTTAGTTAGTTATTCTTTTCAGACTGATTGAATTTGATGTTGAAGTTCGCGTTTTTGGATTTGATATGATTCTGTGTGAGAACTTGTATGAGTTCAGTGATTTTGTATCATTGTAACACACTGACAATATTTTTTTAAAGTTATTCATTCGAATTTAGTGACGACATAATAACTCTATCGGACAGCCCGGACGTGAGTGAGATTCAGTTGGATACGGACGATAATGCTGACAGTAGCAGTGTTCAGTTGGTCAGTGTTTCATTTGTTTATTTATTTATTTATTTA